ATATATATATATAGATATATATATATAAAATAAATGAGAAATGGTTACCTGCAGATCCCTCCCCTTCCCTGTGCATACTGAGTGCCGGGACTCTGAAATTTCTTCACAGTAGATGGTATATTGTAGTGGCTTTGCTGTATGATCCAGACTGCAAACACATGTAAAACCATCTTGTTTCAGCTGGATGAGAAAGGGCTAGCTGCAGAGATCCTCCTTCCTGTGCTGGCCTTTAGAAGGAGGGTCAGGAGGGTGCTGGACTCAGAAATTCCTCTGCAGCTTACAGTGTGTGTTATTGTGTTGTTCTGTTTGTGTTCTGTATTTGTCAATGCAATGCTGTCTCTCAGTGAGTTCAACTGACTTACTGTGTTCCTTGTTGTATTAAGTAATAAAGGGGGGAGGGATTTATTAAAACTGGATCAGACAAAATCTGGTGCAGTTGCCCATTGTAACCAATTCTTGCTTCTGTTTGTTCAATTAAGATTTGAAAATATAATAGAGGAGCTGATTGGTGGCCAGGCAAAGCTGCTCCAAATTCTGTCTGCGCCGGTTTTGGTAAATTGCCCTCAATGTGTGCAATACAGTATTATCAACTTGTACAGGAGCATTAAGGAGTGTGGGAGTATAGCTTAGACAAGTGACTTATGTTGTGCATAGTAATATGAACTACAAACACACATAACATACAGCTTTTGGTTTACAGCCTTGTACTGTTCTCATTTAGGCAAAGCTGTGTGTATTGGGCATGATGTCTGCAAAATATTAATCACTGTTGCTGTGGGTGTTATTGTTGTGATGTGTCGGCTCCATGGATCCACCTGACTTTTTCCATTATTCTGTCATGCAACGCTGTACTGAAATAAATTTTATATAATTTTTTTGGGGACACATTGGGCTTTTCTTTTGGTGGTATTTAATCACCACTGGGGTTTTTAATTTTTTACTATATAGCAAGAAAAGTACCGAAAATGTTGGGGGAAAAAAACCTTTTTTTCCCTACGTTATGTTATGAAACATTTATCAGTACCCAATGTTTTGGTAAAATATAAAAGATGGGGTCACATCGGGTAAATAGACGCCAAACATGTCAAGCTTTAAAAGTGCACGTGCCGGCGAAATCGAAAAAAACTACCATACCCAAAATTGGCCATAGGTGACATTTTTAAAAGCTTTTGCCGCTCATCAGTTCAGTGTTAACAGTGTTGACGTATGTTTGCATGTGTATGTGGCAAGCGGGAGACTTTAAAACATTTTTTTCTGTTATTGTTTTTATATGTGACTTTAAAAAAAAATTAACTTTTATTTTTTTTAACCTTTTTTTTTACACTTAACTTATTTGCTATCGCATAGAATATAATAGAATGGATAAAGGTTAGAACTGCTTGTCAGGTGTTTGCTTCTATCCATGGCTCCGTTAGAGAGACTTACACCTAATTTCGGTCCGGACAAAGTTTCTCAAGACAGGAAGTGAGGGGAACAGCAACACAGAAATCATTTTTTTTTCTTCAGTAGTAGGGAAAGGGTAGCAGCCCTGTCAGATTTGTATTGCTGTATGTGTCCATGTTACAGATTTTCCCCCACTTCCGATGTGGTGAAACTATTGTAAGCAAAACAGGAAGTGAAGGTAAATCTCTCTAGAGAAACCCCAGACAGCAGTGCAAACCCAGGAGTTCTAATCCTTCCCCACACCATCAAGAACTAGAAAAGTTTTTTTAGAAGTAGGACCGATTCACACCAGATGCATTGGGGCTGCGCTCGAAGCAACGGCCAATCGCAATTTGCCTCTGTCACTGACAAAATCGGTTCGGTGCGCTGAGAAAAAGTAGGACTTGCTGTACTTTTTCTCACTACAGCGGGATGCGACGCAATACAACTGCCTCACCCCACGCTTGCCCATAGCACTGGATAAAATGTTACTTGTGACATTTCAATAAAGTTCTACCAAAAAAAAGCAAAACAGTGCGATGTGCCGGGGCAATGCACACCACACACCGTGCGAGTAGTGCAGTTTCTGATGCGAATGGGGCCGTAATCATGTGCTTTAAAACCATAATATGTGTGACATTTATTTCTAGACCTCAGTTTTAGTCTGTGTGCACACAATATTGTCCTCTGTAGCAGTTCTGCATGGCTTGATGCTCACCTGATCATTTTAGGCTATGCCCAGATTGGACACATCTCTTACAAAAATCAGTGTATGGCCACCTTAAAGCTGGCCATACACTATGTGTATTTCAGCTAATTCTTCAAGAACCGGCCAAAATTTGCACAGTGGGTGCCACTGTCAGCACCCTTCTGGCCAGCATCCCTAGATCAGAAGATTGAAAGAGTTGGTTGCAAAATCTTCGAACGAATGGTACTTGCAGCCAACCAGCTTCAAGCATTGTTCATGTATTCTGAAAGCTGCTGCTGTCAGAATACGAAAGAAAATGCGGGGGATTCATCCATCAACGCTTGCACGCATTAATGGAGGAATCTGCTCGCAGGAACAGTGTATGGCCAGCTTAAGCTACAAAAGACTCCTGTTATCAGATAAATATTGCAAGAATTGTGATGTGCAGAGGTAACACTATCTTAAATTAAATGAGCAATGTTGTCTCTTTGAGATGCTTTCATAGGATCAGCAGACCAAGGAAAGTGACATATGTGTCTTTTCAAAGTGGATAATGAACTAATAGAACCTAAAATGTAATGTTATTCGCAGCTTGTTCCAGAGTTAGCCGTAATCACAAAATGTCATGCTTGTTAATGGATGGGTATAGTGGAAATAAGATTGGTCATAGATATTACTCTGTGCTTTCTGTAAAGATTTGCTCATCGCTGCCAAGCCCTCCGAAACATTTTTCATTTCAGCTGGCAACGCCATTTTTTGCAATTTTTCCCATTGATTTGATTTTCAACTGTGTTGCTGTGTTGCTAGTGTTTGTAAAAGACCCCCCAAACCATATATTTTCTGAAAGCGCAGGCCCGGTAGAATAAAAAGATGGTGATACTAAATTTGTAGGCCGTGCGATAATTGCGCAAATGTTTCTCAAATTAGTATTAAACCGATAAAAATACACAATTCAATTGATAAAACACACCAAAATCAGTATCCGTGCACAAAAAAAAATATTTTCTGACTAAATCTAAAAGATAAAACTGTAATAAATAACAAATATTTGCACATTTTAAATTGCGCCTTTTTGCAAAAAGGTTAAAAAATGACGGTATGCAAAACTGTAAATAAGTGACTTATGTTAAAAATAGTTTTTACGCTGTTGTGTTGGTGTTTGTGTTGTGATAAAATGATACAGGCATATATTTAATTGCAACACAAGGTATCACAACGCACAGCAATGCGTCACAAAGCTTTGCCATGCGCTGCCACAGTTTAATGTTTTTTTAAGAGAAAAAAAAATCATGCACTGCGATGCATTCTAACAACGCACTGCAGCGCATGTGTACACATTTTTTTTAAATTTCATTTTTTTACATTTTCTATTTATTTTTGTAATAATTATTATTTATTTTTTACTGTTGGGGGTGCTGCGGTGAAATATCTTGGGTCTAAACAGACCACTGGCATTTCCCTTTTGAAATAGAAAAATAAATTGAGGACATAGAGTCCTCAGTTTCTTTTTCTGCAGCCCCAGCACTCAATGAATGGGAAGCACTCAGTACAGAGGCTTCTCATTCAATCAGAAACTGATGATAGCAAAATATTTTTACTATCACCAGTTTATAAATGGGGAGGGGCCTCTATAGTGAGTGCTACTCCCCATTCATAAATTCTTAAATGAACAGTAAGTGATGTAAATCACAGCCTGCTCATTCATAACTGGGGACACATAGTACTATATGTCCCCAGTTATTGTAAACACCGGAGTGATTGTGTTTGCTCTGCACAGGAAGATCGATAGATATCAATGATATTTATCGATCCCCCGCTCGGCCACACTACAGAGCCGGTGTCATCCAAAAACTGACAGGATGACAGCGGCTCCGATCACAACACAGCTCGGCCATCCTGGATTGCGGCCAGCCGCCGTTCGCTCCCCCGCCGGCCAATTTTCATTGGATCCCCGCCGCCACAGACCCTACAAGTGGGGGACAGCAGTGGGGATCCATGGAGTGTCTCATCCCTTCATGGAGCAGCTTCAGGCAGGGACGAGCGACTCCAGATGCCGGCGGTGAGGGGGGGTTGCGTATTTTCGTTAATAGCGGTCATGAGCGGCTTGTGAGCCGCTGATGACAGCTATTATTTTGAAGGGGACAGTCTGCTGAACAGTTCTGCTATAAGCTTATGGTCGCTAAAGCGGCCATGAGCTTATAGCAGAACTGTAAATGCCACCGAAGTAAGGCATACTGTGCTGGCCAGCCTGGAACACTTTTGTTCCGCAGTATGCCTTACGTCGGTGGCAGCGAAACGGTTAAAAGAATGATGTAGGAGTAAAGACAATTTCACCACCATTAGCCTAATTATATTTTCATTAAAACCAGTTTTAGTAGAATTACCTAAAATGTCTGGACCACAAAAATCAGTGGGAGGTTGTGTGAGCCAATTGGACTCTTTTATTGGAATTTGTTGCTCAGAACTGTTCCCTGCATGTTTTTAGGCACTGAGAGCTGCAAGGGTGGTGATTAGGTAGCTTACAGGATCCATGCATACATATCCATACAGGGGTACAGGTACACTCAAATACTAGACCACACAGGGACTCTTATACACACACACGCACAGGAGACACGCACACACACAAAGGTTGAACTTGATGGACCTGTGTCAAATACTATGTAACTATGTGCAGGGTGGATCATGATATGTTCCAGCACGGGATCTAATTATTTGTATGGCATATTGTAGTAATTTAACACTGCATTATAATACTTGTTATAATAGTAATATAACAGTGCATGTGATGATAGAAGATATGAAGACTTTTTATAAGGCTGCCTATAAATACATTTTTGTGTTTGATATTGGTACTTGTGAATATATGAAAAACATACATTTTAAAGACATTTCTACTGATTTAATTGTAACCAGATTTATTTTTATAATATACGTTAGCATATGAACACAGATTCTGTTTACTATTTTGCACTTTTTGTTCAGTTGTACTACAGCAATTTACTGTTTTCATTAAAATATAATTTGGTTTAGGATACAGTAGAGAAAGAGTTGGATCCCCTGTCTGGTTTTTATTGCTACTCATTAACCCATTGGGGAGATTTTCTCTCACTTTCTGGCTTAAGCTTGGAACAGCCTGTAAGGATGTAGGTAAAAAAGACAATTTTCCAACATGTCTCATTGACAAAAGTCAAATTAATGATCAAGTTTTTTTTTTAAGGAGATAGGACCGCCCACTAATCAAATTAGGGCTGATTTCTGCTGAATCGCCCAAAATTTAGATTGTGTGTGCCAATCTTTTGTGTCAACATTGCCCCTAAAACAATACAGTATTGAATAGCTGAATGGGATTCTAGCCTTTCCCAGCTGTGTAAAATGTATGTTTTTATTGCTGTTGTCTGAGAGATTTGCCCTGACTTACAATATTGCCACTATTGAACACTATTAGACTTCCTAGGACAGGAAGTGAGGGGATATCTGTCTAACAAGGATATAGACAGTAATAAAGTCTGATAGAGTTTCCAACCATTCCCACCCTAATCATATCTAGAGTTTTTCCTTTAATGATAACATGATTAAACACTTTTTTATAGATATTTATGTTTCTGTTTCTTAACAGAGTTACTGGTGGAGAATTATTTGAAGATATAGTAGCAAGAGAATACTATAGTGAAGCAGATGCCAGGTAAGTTTACAGGTATTTTAGTCTTCCCTACTCTGTGCATGTTTTGAAAGATATTATACTGAAGAGTAGGGAGACTACAATTGTTGTAGTAACTTTATCAGAAGGAACTGGTTTACTCATTATAGGCTTGTTAGGTGATATGGAAGGCAGAAACAAAATTACAAAGCTTACATTGTATTTACTGTTACAAACAGCCCTTTGACCTCTCATTTTGAAGACCTTCCATATGAAGCTTTGTGGATAGATTTAAGTGTATACAACAAAGAACCTTAATCACTTAGGGCTTGTTCACACACACCAGTAGTGTTGCCCAGTGCAGTCCCAAGCAAGCAATTTGCCTTATGTCCTATGGTGTCAGTTCACACCAACATGTCATGTTGGTGTGCACTGGAAAAAATAGGACATGTTTCATTTTTGCACAGTGCATTCCGAATAGCTGTAACACATTGCAACACACTGCAATGTATAGTAATGACATTAATAAAAATTAGTAAATGGGTTTTAAAAATGTACAAACACATTGCAGCACAAGCTAAAAATGCATTGCCACTCTATGGTGTGAACAAGCCTTTAACACCTTCCCACAAGACTTACACATATATGCAGCTCCATTGTTCTGTTCTGAGAGCACACTAACTTGTTCACTAACTTGTTCCCAGCACAGTGACTGGTGGGATGGGTTCCCAATCATGTCACAGCCAATCACAGTAATAACACGGTTAGGAAGCCCGCCCGTGGCTCCCATGGTCAGAAACCTGGAAATGGACAGCAGGAGCTGGCGGCAAGGGATTAAAGAAAAATATCAAAAACAAACTTGTTAAAAAGAGCTGTCCTTTCCCATGTTACTATTGAGGAATTACTTCCACTAGGGCCCCTTTCAGCCTTCAGTTCCCATCAGGTCTGCTTGAAAAACTGACAGACGGACCTGATTGGAATGCCCGTTTAAAAGGGGCCTTACTCGTTTTATGTGTGGCCCTCGTTATGAACTGCCCACACATTTTGTCAGTTACTGTTATGGCCCATTCATACAGGTGAAACTCGAATAATTAGAATATCGTGCAAAGTTCATTTATTTCACTAATGCAACTTAAAAGGTGAAACTAATATATGAGATAGACTCATTACATGCAAAGCAAGATAATTCAAGCCGTGATTTGTCATAATTGTGATGATTATGGCTTACAGCTCATGAAAACCCCAAGAACCCCAAATCCACAACCTCAAAAAAGTAGATTATTACATGCTAACAATAAAACAAGGATTGTACATAGAACAATATCGGACCTCTGAAAAGTACAAGCATGTACCAAGTACTTGGTTTGGGCCCCTTTTGCAGGACTTACTGCAATTACTTTTGCCAGTATTCTAATGATTCGAGTTTCACCTGTATGTAGGTAATAAAGAAAAACTGTTTTAAAGGTGGTTCAAAGGTGGTTGTCTAATCCTCTGCATGTGTGTCTTTTTAACAAGGCTTGCATACCACATATACACAAATGGTCCTAGAAAAAAATGGTGCTTCTTGCAAATTGGTATTTTCTTAATTCAGGGCAGCTCTGATGCTGCAAACATGTATACTCTGATGCTGCAGACATCCATACATGTTTGACTAAATTGCCATAGTGGACCTGCATTAGCCATCACATCTGAAATGTCACACAGCCTTACTTAGCTGTGCCAATAACACTGCAAAGCTCCAAACCCTTTTTTACAATTTTTTTTTTACATTTCCCATTTCTTCTCTCAGCCATTGTGTTCCCTACATGTGACTTCAGTTATCTGCTAAGTGCATTAGAATGCAATAGTCATTGATGTGACAATGATTCTTCAATCCATGTGCCTCTATGGTACCCCATATTTACAAGAATGTGTGTTTGTCATGCACATATATGTATATGTAATGGTGATAATGTACCTGCCTCATTAAAATACAAGGCTAGCATATCAATATCAATATATCATGTCAAAATAATGCATAATAATGCTTTTTTTGGATATATTTACCTAGGCCTTGGGACACAAAGGCTCTAAAATCTTTATATTTTGCAGTAATAGGAAGTACATTATCCCATATATTACACAAGTTTCCCTTTAAAGAAGAGAGAACAATTATAATATTCTGTAACCTCAGGTTATTTAATCTTTACTTGCAGTTGTATCAATTATTTTTTACAGACATTCTCATTTATGTGACACAATTTTTACCCCTATTCCATAAAAAAAAAACCTGAAAGCATCCTGTTGTTTTTAAATATCTGTTACAGGAATGTCATACCTTTCTTCTTTTTCTTAAAATTTTTTATTTTATGGGAATTACAAACTTACATTTTCTATTAAATGCACCTGTTTTGCTATTGTCAAAATGTATTAGCATACTTTTAAAATATTTCACTTATATTCAATAAACTTGGGTAATATATATGAAAATATATTGTATGCATATATATCTCTATTGTGTACATTAACATTGTAATCCCATTACCAATGTGTGTTTTATGTTACAAACTCCATTAAGTACAGCAGTTTTTTTTTATTATTATTATATGTGAGGTTATTATTCTACTGTGCGGCGCGATCAAAATGCTACAAGCACTATTTTGATCGCACAGGACCAGACCGCAGGGACAATGTACCTTATGATCGCGTGCGGCGGACTGCCCCCCTCCTGCCCCACTAAAAAGTGAGCCGGCCGCAATGCGAGGCAGTGCGTTCCGGCCAAAATCTGTCCGTAACGCACTGCATCTAGTGTGACTGAGCCCTTAATGTTTTTAAAAAGGACCTGTAGCAAATGAATGGGGTTTGACCTTTACAATGAAAGCAGACAAAATGCTGTTCTTGCAGATTTTTTTTAAATTAAGCAATAAACAGTCATTTAGTTAGAGCAGTATAAGTGGCCCTGATAATAAAAACCTAATCAATTTCAACTGTATCATTTGTATGATTTGTTGTCTCGATTATTTTGAAATGAAATATCATTCAAAACAGTCTTGAACCATTATATGTATAGACAGCAAGGTTGGGTAAGGATGGGCAGATCTCGCAGATGCATCCTTGAGAAGGCTCTTATGGACCTTTTGTAAACATAGCAATTTCCATCATGTGAGGATGTGTTTTGTTGACAAGCAACAAAAGAATCACTCCTTCCTATTTCATGGAAAGGGCACCTATCAGGCTCAGCCGTACTTGAAACAAATAGATCCCTAGTGGAAATTTTACTGTGAGTGGTCAGCCTACAGAGTGTATAACAAAATTATTTAGAGTTACCAGTTGGGAACTCACATGGCTTTCCCAGACTAGACTGTGCTTAAGTTTAAAGAGAGATACTGTCTAGTTAAAGTGTAGCTCGAGCCTTGTTTGGCAGATTTTCTCTCATGTCCTGTCTAGGTGCCAATGTTGTCACTGGGAGAGCAAGAAAAATCTATGAACCCGGGAAACTGACAGCAATAAAAAAATTTCTACCTCCCCTACACAACAAAAAAAACATTTTTAATTGCTTCTGGTGTTTCAGTTGGAGATTGCCCCTCATTTCCTGTCCTACATTGTCACCAAGACAGGAAGTGATGTAAAAGCTCCCTAACATAGCCCAAGACAAATGCAGAAATCTGACAGAGGCTCTTAACTCATTCCTACTCTACCCAACGCTAAAAAATACTAAAATATATTTTAAATAAAGAGAAAAGTGGTCTAGCTGAATTTGATGATTTGTGTTAAACTGATCTTTGTGATTAATTAATTGCCTCTATTCTATCAGATTCATGTTGGCATAATCAGTCTTTTGTTTGACTTATGCTATTTTTTGTAAACAGTTGTTATTACTCCTAATATTGTGAAGGGAAAGTTGTAATTATAATCTGTAGCGAAATGTAAGAAAACATTGTTTAAAAATGATCATGTGAGCCTTTTCTAATTTTATCAAACTGCAGCAAGAATTAGGCTATCAACGTTTGTTACTGAATTCCAAGAGCAGTCTAATAAGCTTCAGAAATGTTTAATTTGTATTGTTTGAGCCAGTATTCAGTGATGGACCTTCGGTTTAATAAATATTGGATTGCTCAAGAGATCCTTCAGTGTTTGTAACATTTGAATCACTCGCCCAAGAGGAACCTCTAATTACTTCATTGAGAAGAAGGTCATGAAAGAAAAGGTTTTCATTACCATTATTGACTTGGTATATTTTCTCAGAATACAGAATCTAATATGTTTCTAGAAGACCAGGGGTCAACCCAACATTTTCAAGTAACCTCAGCATAGAAGTGTGTTAAAAAAAGCATTGGTCCCAGATTCTATTCACAAAATCTATGAATATCAGTCATAGTGACTGTTCTCTGGTATAGCATGGATCATGTAGGGCAGATTTATGTTACATCATGATGAAGGCTTGAATGCCAATTAATTGGTCACATTGCTTTATTGGGAACAATATCTATTAGGCTAAGTTCATTCATTTACTGTAAACACAGTAGTTTTTCCTTTGATTACTTTTGTGTTTTGCTAAAGCCAGTATAAAATTGCTGATGAATCATCTTGTGATGTTGTAAAAATTAGTTTAGCCGCTTCAGTGAAAATTTAAAAAGTGCAAAGACTAGGCAAACAATAACTTTTATGATACTATTTTTTTAAATAAATGTTAGTGCCAGATATTCTCGCTGTAAAAATAGTAGAGAAGAGAATTCATGGATGTTGGAGTGAGATTGTGGATCCTTCATGAGATGTCCTTACTAATGGTAGAAAACCACACTCCATTAAAAGTGCCATTCTGCTGCCACACTACCATGAACGGTTATAGCCTTCTACTATAATAGAGGGTTGGTTAAATGGGTTCTCCAGCTTAAAAAAGATGTATCAAAAGCTTCTAAGGCCTGCAACAGCACCCACTTACCCACAGTATGCTGTCAACTAAGCTACGTCCTTTTAAAGCATTATAACAAATGTCCTGACTGCTATAACAAATGTCGTTGTACGAGCTAAAGCATACATTTTGATTTCTATGGAAGATGCATAAATTCAATATATATTCTACTTGACATTTTACACATTCATTATTCATCAGGGATCGCTGTATGTATTCAGACCCCATCACTGTCTGCTTAGAATCACAAAGCAGCCATGGTGAACCAACATTCCTCTATAGCCAGGGTGGGCAACTCTGGCCCTCCAGCTGTTGAGGAACTACAAGTCCCATGAGGAATTGCGCAGCCATGGGCATGACTACCAAAGGCAAAGTGATTATGGCATATGTAATTAAAGCACAGCTGGAGGGCGGGAGATGCCCACCCCTGTCCTATAGTCACTATAATCATTTGGTGTTGTATAATGCTGAGCTATACCATCCTCACAAACCATTCAAACAGGTTTTATGTATTGGTTATGCATATAATTACATCAAACAAAGCATACATTAATTAAAGCCAGCAGATTTAGGGTTGTCATTCTGCAAAGTTTCTTTGATTTTTTTATCTGTTTATTAGCTAAATATTTTCTGATGTTTCACACTTATATCACATTTCCATAACCCTGTTGTGACCAACCCTTGGTTAACTATGAAAATAGTTATTTAAAATGGACAACACTACAGTGTTGAAAATGTACTTATTATTCTCCAGCTCCCTCTTAGTAAGCATGGAATGTGCATGTTTTGTTTTATTTCCTGTATGTAATTCCATGTATAGATAATGAGTACATTTTCATGTGCTTCCTGTTTAAATGGCAAATGACAGCACTGTTATATGTCTGATGTGTGCATGTTATGTCTTAATACAGTGTTGTTCAATACTGGTTGATACATGCAAATGTCTTTGTGTACGTTTTCTGTTTATTGTGCATTGTTAATAATTTGCCTTTAAAATGTTTCCCCTTCCGTTCTGCCCTTGTATCTTCACAGTCATTGTATACAGCAGATTCTAGAAAGTGTAAATCATTGTCATCTTAATGGCATAGTTCACAGAGACCTAAAGGTCAGTATCTAGTGCTAACAAGTTGCTTAATGATGTGCTTAGGGTGAAAATGGCTGAAGTGTATCTTTTTCTGCCCGTTCTTACCTTTCCTCTCTTAAAATGTTACATCAAGGTATGTGCATGATGTCTGCAGGCTTCATATTTATCATGGCTTGCAGTATTATTAGCCGGTACTTATTCTAAATGGGTGACGTGTATACATATTGTGCATGATGTTTTATAAGGGTTTAGGTTTGACATGACGTTTTATGCAGTCTGCAGACTTCACCCCACTTCTGTCCTCAGACCTTGGGTTACACTTGTAAAACAACTGGCTATATGGCATTGCACTAAAACAACATCATTATTAAATACCAAGCTATTTGAGTTCACAACTTGCTAAGGTTTAGTACTGTGCACATCTTATGATCTTAATCTTATGATTTTTATGTAGCACAGTTAAATAGAAAGTTATTTTAAGAATGCCAGTTGTTTGCGTGTTGTACATTTAAACCCAATCTTCTGACGGTGTACAGACAGTGGGTGTAAGCTTGGAACTAACACACACCCCCTGGTGTTTGCATGCAGTCATTGCATTCAGCAGATCCTGGAGGCTGTGCTGCACTGTCATCAGATGGGCGTAGTCCATCGAGATTTAAAGGTAAGTGACTGCTTCGTGAAAAGTTACCTTTGATGGAATGGCAATGTTTGGCTACTGTTCAGCATGTGTAACTGCTGCATTATGTATCATTATGCTGGCTTTTCATCTCTGCTAAATTTAAGGAAGCATTGACTTTATTGTGACTTGTTGTTTTTAATTAAAGTATCCACATGTGAAAAGCTGCAAAATATCCGGTTAATCCTATGTGCTTTCAAGACACTATACGATGTAAATTAATTACCAAAAAATAATTGCCAAATGCACAGTTCAACAGTTTATACAAAATTAAGAATCCTTAATTTTAGAATGCAAATAAAATGATGCCCAGTCTAGTGCTGTACAGCTAATCCCCAGGTATATTTAGGATGTATGATTCTGTTAATGGTTCTAGTGAGTGGTTTCTTTAATAGTACAATTTAAAACTGGAACACTAGTATAATAAAGGAGTCTAAAAGAGTTCTGAAAGCTTTAAAGATGAACTTGGGGCTGGAAAAAATACCCATTCAATGCTTCCCCCAACCCCCCACATACACACACACGTGTCAAGGATTAAATACTTGTTAGTCTTGGGGTTTAGGAATAAGGAGTAATACCTTTTTATTGTGTGTTATTTCAAAACGTACAGCGCTAACCGTCCTTCAGAGGTGAATATAAGAACTCAGACATTAATAGGGGGCTGAGTGCCTTTTGTTCAGCAGCTTCCCTTACCCTTCTAGAACAATTTATTTTTATCCATTTTATCTATTTTAACTTTTATACATTTTTTATTAATTCCATTAGCGCAAGTTCTTTGCAATTAGTAATACCTTATTCCTTGCTCCTGTGGGCTCCCTCCTTTTGTGCAACCAGTCCCCCATGCCTCCTGCATTGTATGTGATGACGCAGAGGGACTGCCCACAGCTCGAAGAGTCGACAAAAAGAGAAGAGCGCAAGAGCCTGCTGAAGTAGGGGTTAAGATGGATAATACAGCCTCTTGCCCTACTCCCTAATATTAACAATCCTTTAACCTTGCAGTGCCCAAAGGGCACACTGCAAGAGTATTTTTGTTTCCAGCCCAGATTTCAGCTTTAAGGTTTTCTATGCATAATCGTACATAATGCACTCCTTGTATTAAGCTCTGTTATTATAGTTACTGAAATATAGGTAATGTAGTATGTCATTACACGGGGTACCCATCTCTAGAATGTCCTGTCAGATATGCAACATTACCTGTTCTTGTAGGTCTTTCACATTTCATGAGCGCAGCAGAATAAAATGAGGGATGTATTGATAACCATTTTGCTTCCATTTGTAACAAAGTTAAAAGAAATTTGTATTCCCAGATATAAATATAAAAAACAGCTGCAGTCAGAAAGGAGGGTCATGGGGACTAAATTACTGAACAAGTTTCAAATAGAACTACCCCTGAAATTAGTTAAATGTTAATTTATACTATATAATGTGTTTTAGGACCTTAGCTGTGGTAGCTACATTTGATTTTTTTTCCCTCTTACAACCGGGTGATTTTGGCAGCAACACACTTCCATTACCAGTATGACTGACTCTAGGAACACATTTGCCCTTCTCTATCAATAAAAAGCAAGATAGGACCATGGTAAACCATTTTGTTCCCCATAACATAGAGGGGTGTGGTCCTGTCCTCCTCAAAGAACAATGTAATTGATATCAGCACAGGCAGGGGACATAAGTGGTTATTAGGTCACAAGATTTTTTTCAGAATCTACAAGTATTTTTTAACTTTTGAAACAGATTTAACAAAATGCTTTCAATGGTATATAAAACAGATCAAAGGGGACCAGATAAGAGAAGTTCATTGTTAGGGTTTATACACTTTTTTATTAACCGTTAGAGCTACAGTATATCTGCATTATAAATCTATTATGCTGGTTCTCATTCAAAGGTTTATCTCGGTATCAGGTAGTGTTAGGCTTCCTTTGTAATGCATTATCAACCAGATCCTAGCCTCAGTACCTACTGAGTCACTGACCTGCAACAAGCTTGAAGGAAGGAATTCTGACTCCACTGGGTACGAACATACTCCAGAATAGCTTAACTTGTACCCCTGTATCCCACCCATGTGGCGATTTTGAAAAGATACGGTTGCATACATAGGTAGGTTCAGCTCAGATTTACAATGCATATGGTCTGGGTCATGTATATTGTTCAAAGCATATTCAGAGTTGGAACAGCTAAATTCTGAAACATGCAGATGTACTGTAGAGGAAGGCTTAGTGATTTCCTTGTTAAACCTGCAGCCACATTCCTTCATCTAAATCCCTACATCTCATACCTCTCTCTAAATTCCTTACTGCCCCATACCAATCTCTAAATCCCTACCACCCCATTCCTCCCTCTGAATGCCTTACTGCCCCATACCTCTTTTTACATCCCTGCCACCCCATACCTTCCTCTAAATCCCTAGCACCTAACACCTCTCTCTTAATCCCTACCAGCTCAGCTCCATTTGCCTCGGTTTAAAGACCAACTCTAGACTTCTGTTAAGTTTACCTAAGCAGTGGGTTCCTCCTCCCTCACTGAATGGGTTAAATGATCATTTGGCTAGGGGGAAGGAATAAGTACAAATACTTAACTTATTCCTTGCTCCCCCGTCAGCCACCGCTCTCCTCCGCTGTCTGACAAATGACACACACATTTTGCACAGAGCATGTGCAAAATGGTGGGAATACTGCAGAGCCTAGAAGAGCCTGCAGATCATTGTCACTGCTAACCAAGAAGGACAACTCACTGGCAGGTATTTCAAGGAAAATCACATTGGATTACAAAAATACAAGAAACTGATCGTTTTAACATTGTAATGTCTCTTTCTTTTTTTTTTGGTTGACCACTACTTTTTCCTATGCTAAAACAAACACACAATAAGAGATTACTCATCAACACACAATGAGCTTCTAGGGCAGAAAGTGCAGGGCATGCAAATTAGAAGTGATTGATATAACTAGCATAGTCCACACCTCTCCTTTATAGATAAATAAAATGTTTTACATTAGTGGTTATAATTGCCTAGAGTGTCTTCTCTAAAGTAGTTGGTGTTATGCCCCTTAAAGAAGAACTCCATGCAAAAGCTTTCCCAACCCTTTCAGTGGGGTTACCACTGTGCTTGTGTTTGTCTAGGTGCTAAAAAAAGTTACACTCACCTGATCCTGGGAGCCGACTTGCTCTTAGACTGGTCCCTGGAGCCTCTCTCCCCCTCCACTGCAGCAGTCTAAGGATCATTGTGTCATCACTTTCTGTACACAGTGTGTAGGACATGTGGACACCGAGGGATATACCATCACTGCAGTGGAGGAGGAGACAGGCTTCAGGGACCAGAGTAGCAGGCAGCCAGTCCCATGGTTCGCGTGAGTATACATTTTTTCCCCCCAACACTGCAAGGGTTTAGAACACTTTTCCCGGAGTTCTACTTTAATGTGTATGTATGACCAAAACATTTTCTGCAGAGGTGGGGGTGATTACCCTCTTATACAGTTGTCACTACCCTCTTAGACAGTTGTCAGCAGAACAAGTATTCCCATTGTCTCAATGACAGTAACACGTAAGGACGATTAGAGAGGGTAAATCTACCTGGCAGGAACAGAGACAAAAATAAAAAAGCTCACAGGGGTTCTAATCTTTCCCTACTCTATCCACAACTAAAAATAAACATTTGGCTATACATACATTCAATGTGTAGGTAGATGACCCTGTGTCAAGGAAGAAGGGTCTGACATCTAGGTTTGAGATAGGGAAAGCAAACTGGGGGATGTATGACAGACTGTTCTGTAGAGATGCACGTTTCTTAAAGGAAAGGGGTCACTGGTACAAATGGGAACATTTAGCTAAAAGGCTAGAAAAAAGGGTTTTTTATTAGGTATTCTTTTGTTTATAAGACAAATATTAAGCTTTCCTCTAAAAGATGCATTTTTGGTTTTGTTTTACATCAGATAGTGGATATGTGTTTCTTCTCTCAGAAATGTTCCTCAATTTGCCAATAGTTTTCTATAGAGTAAAAATAGAATACCAGCTTGTACTCAAATAGCAGCAAGAAGACACACACATTTCTGCTGATTGAGCCTAGATGGCCTCTGGATTTATGCCTCGTTTTTAGACACTGCATAATTGAATTGACTCGCTGTTCTCTTTGTTAAAAATTGCATATCTTTCTTTAAAAATGGCATTCATCTTAGTCAGTAAATGAATCTCAGTCAATTAGTAAGACAGTAAATGGCTCATTTCTATTCAGTTCAAAAAAATCCATCAAAGGTTTAAACGCTGCAAACATGGTACTAGGTTAAAGCCTTTCTGAGTTTAGTAGATGGAAAAATTGATAGAATAATTGACAACTGTTCAGCATAATTAAATAACACATCTAAGCTATGACTGCTGATTACTGACTTACATCGTGTTAACAGTGTAGCCAGCCTAAGTTCATCTTCAAAACATTGCATAATGTTATTTAAAATATTCTAGAACATCTTTCTTCTCATGTTTGAATAGGGTAGGGAAGGGGTAACAACTGCTATCAGTTTTTTTTTTGCTCTCTGTGTTGGTCTGTGGAGATTTTCCTTCACTTCCTGTCTTGGAGGTCCAACAGGAAGTGAGAATTGTCCCCTACCTGAGGCTTCTTAGACAGTTGGCACCAGAATATTTTCCCCTGATTGTTGCTCTTTATGGCAACTCTAAAATTAATGATTTCCCTAAAGTGGTGACAAATAGAAGGGCAAATCTCCACAGCAGAGACACAGGCAGCAATAACAATGCTTTTTTCCCCCATTACATACACTTTAATTCTTATTCAAGATCATATACATTTGCAGTGAGTTCAGAGCCCTATTTAAAGGCAAATATATGCAAAAAAAATGCATATTATTATCTGCATTATTTGAAATAACGACTTTTACAACTATTTATGTGAACCTTAACGTAAATTGAGATTCATAAATATTTTTTGCACAGTAACTTACCTGCTTAAAGCATACCTGTCAAAAACCTTTTACGTTCTGCCCAGGCCTCCAGGCTGGATTTTGGCTTTTTCTTGAAAAAGATGCTGCTGGTTTTCTGCTACATATACCTGCTGTGATTCAGCATTAGTGTGAAGTTCATCTGTCGATCTCTTCCCCTCATTGCTCACATTGCTATGCTTGTCAGTATTAGACTCCATATAAAAGTAAACAGTGCCTGTCCAGGTAACAATGTGAACTGTGAAGGAAGGACATTTACTGAAAACCTCACACTGGCAAAATGAAGCTCCTTAGGTACATTACTGAACATAAAAAGGGTCTTAAGTAGGGTATACATGGGAAGATTTTCTAATGAACATACGAAAAATAAAGTTGGACCATTCAAAAATGCCATCAGAGACTTGGCAATTGCCATTTGAAATATTGCTTGATTTTCGTTTTCGTTTAACATTCAATTTAGGAGTTTTTACTGAACGAAAACCACATTCATTGTAAGAATTTTGTTTGATCAACATACATTTTCCAACAAGCTTTTTTCAAATTTTTAGTCACTGCAGTCAAAATCGATCATCAATGATTAGAAAGTCAAACAAACATTGATTATGCTTGTTCGAAATTCCAGCCGTGTATACCCTACTTATGTCACCATCATCTAAATAAATACAATTCGAAGTAGCATTTTAATTGCTCCATTATTATTGATGACAAGAAACTAGGCTTTTCCTCATTATTCTTACTTTTGTCATTCTTTTGTGTGTTGTGTTAAAGGTATGTAAGAATTACTGTACTTACAATAGAATGTATAAGTTTCCATATTGTAAACATGACCAGGACGAATTTAGCCAGCCACAGGGATAAATAAACAGGCATGACAATTAACAGATCGCATAGCATTGTTATTACCGAATTCTGTTCTCATTTTGAAGTATGGTTTCTACTAAGCTTATTGTCCTTGAATTCAATTATACATTGGCTCCAACATCTTGTGTGTATTTAGTAGCTGCATATTCATTTATGACTTGGAATAGTCGACAGATAAATTATTACACAAAACATCAATAAAAAATTGTGTTTTGAACGCAGTGTCATTCACAGATATACTGTACTTTATAAAGCACACGTTTCATTTTATTTCCAAACGCTATCAACTTTATTCCAAACACCAGTTCAAAAAGCAACCGGTCATATTTCAGTTTCTCTCAGAAATCTGATGGGTTGCAATGGCTAACTGCACTTTGTATATATTCACTGCTCTTTGCATGACATTATTTAATACGCCTCCTTGAGATCTAATGGCTTACGCATGTAAATCTGATTACTCAGATTATTTTATAGAATGTTATTTTTTTTAAAAATATTTTTTTTAGAGAATTATAATTCATCTTAGAAGTCACTGTTTCATTTTAATGTGAAGAGCAATACATTCTAATTGAAAGCACAGACTTTACACAACATTTACATTGTTAGATTTATTGACCTGCATGGACTGTCTTCGCTAACCACAAAATTTCTCCTATTTTCTTTATAAATAAAAGCCTGAAAATTTGCTCTTAGCTAGCAAATCAAAAGGTGCAGCAGTAAAACTTGCAGACTTTGGACTAGCTATTGAAGTTCAAGGAGACCAGCAAGCATGGTTTGGTGAGTATTTACACATCTTATTTTGTTTTACTAATTTGCATTCAGTAAATTTTTTTTGTCTGTTAAGCGGCCCACAAGCCATAACCAAATTGCAGGTTGCTGATACCACAGACTTTTGGGTATGAGAAGTATGCTTGCTTTTGTGGTCAAGCCATAACCTGACTCACCCAGGACCCAGTGACATCTGATATGTTGAAAGGGAAAGTGGTATGTACTGTACATTGAAACCACATTCTTTCACTAAAGATCTTATTGTACAGCCAGCATATTCTTATTTGTTTTGTATTAGTGAGTGATTTAGTGATGTGGGATTTATTTGCAGAAGGTGGTCTTGGGGTCTCTTAGCAGCTCTCATTGTCACTTTAATGTCCTGTACTTCCCCACCCAGAGCTACTTGTCAACACAATGTCTGTTGTTCCCACCAAGGAAATGACAACTAGCCTTAAATGTGTTCTGCATCATGTGATCTGTGGCAACTTGATCACATAAGGCAGAGAGGAGAAAGATTACACTAACACTTCCCCCCAATTAAGAAGGTACCACAATGGCAAATGTGCATTTATACTCCTCATTCTTCATTTAAATTATGCCCCAGGTGGGGGAAAAGGTGTTGCCCTTGCTTAACCCCCTCATACTGCTAGATATACCTACCACTAGCTTATCTGATAAAATGCCTCAATGTATGCAGAAGGTAAAACCCATCCACTGCTCTGCCCTGCAACAAATAGGTTGTTCGTCACAGTGCATATGCACAGTAGTGTGAAACTACACTACTGGCAATGCAGCTTCTTATGGGAAATTGTTTTTGCTAATTAAACTGACAGGCCTAATGGATAGCAGCTTAATTCTTTGAATTGCATACTTGCCTTAGACGTTGTCAAACAAATTGGGCAACCCTATGCCAGTATTTGCCCTAATACCACCCAGTTCATTCACCAAATACGATAAAAAAGTGGTATGATTTTAGCTCTGAAAATAACCAATTCGTAAATAATGGCCCTGCATACTTTTCCTAATCTAAACCAAATGTAGAGATCTGTCCTGCTGTTTTCAATTATATATTTGTATATATGCATTTTATAAGGTATATTGCTGTATGCTTTCTTTATTTTGCATCCTGCAGTTTAGTTGCAGTCTTACACTAATAATCAATAATAAACCATTTAAACGATGCAGCATAAGTTACAGTATAGTATGTTTTACAATCATTGTAACACACACTGCAATGTGACAAACCCTCTATCCTGGCAAGCACATATAGAAAACACTCTAAAGGTGCCCATACACTGTACGATTATCGTACGAGAATTGTGGGAAATCCCGCGATCGTACGATAATCGCAAAGGAAGTGTATGGAAGTCTTCCGTCGAACAAGCAGGCTTCAAAACCCTCTGAGAATCGTACGATTCTCGGCGGGTTAGTGGCCTGCTTGTTCGACAACTGCCGAACGGGCCGGTGTGCGCACGTGCACACTGCCCGTTTGCAGTCTTCGGAAGCCCGCCCCTCATTGCAGTCATCGCAAGCCCGCCCCTCAGGGGGTTGGACTTGCGAGGATCGCAAGTACGATCTGCCTGTCCAAGATGGGCAGATCGTACGAGCTTTTAATTAGCTTACAACCATCGCAAGACAAAAGTGTTGCGATGGTTGTAAGGTGTATGGGCACCTTTAGTCTGTATATGTTCTCTCTTAAGCACATAATTGTTGTCCCAAGAATGTGGACATTGGACAACATGCATAGAAATTCAGATCCTCGCCTATGACCTCCAGGCTTCTGTGGTGGACTGTCTAGGTTTATTGATAACTGTATCAAAATTTAGCAGCAGCAGTTATGCAGGAAACTGTAAATTTTATCTGGTTTAAAATGGTTGTGTTGGATTTAAGTCAGTTGGTGAGATTTGTTCAGAGGCGTCACAAGGGGTTTGCAGCCCACACCAGGGGACACGATTTGGGAGGGTGACACCAAAATGACTGCCCGGATGCCTGACAGCTGCACGAGAGAGGAGGGGCGTCAGCATACCTTATCCCACCAAATGAACGTCCCCTGCTCTCTTTGCCGTATCCATCAACAAGATGATTGCCGGCATTGACGTGCTCGTGCATAATGATGTAATGTGTGACGTACGCATGGGTGACACCCGGCCTGGTGACGCCGCTGGATTTATGACTTGTGGATTGGCTTTGAATGTGATGAATAGATTTTGTTTGCTTAGATCAGTGGAGTCCAAACTGTGGCCCGTGTGCTGGATGCAGGTCTATGTTTGTTTTATGTTAATTTCATTGACGTATTTTTAGGTCTGTCTTCTAAGTAAAGGCCTTATTTAAATATGGTTTTGGTTAAAATAATGTTTTGTATTAGGACAAGTAGATTGTCGTGAGGGACAAGTATATTGTAATGAGTGACAAGTTTATTGGTCCCCGCTTTAGTCCTTGTACAAGTATATATTTTTTTTATTTCAACACCACTGGACTAGGACATGTGACTAGGACATGTGACCATGCACAGCATCTCAGGGGAGGAAAATGCCTTTCCCTGAGATCTCATTAGATTACAAATGAGAGTTCCCTGCAATGCTCTGCTGATGTAACCTTCCCAGGATGCAACGCTTGGGCATAATACATCATTTGTGCCAAAGAGAACCAGGAAGTTGAAAAAAAAGAAATTTGTAGGTAAAATAAAAATATGTTTGTTTAGTGAATGCCAAATGATTCCATATCAGTATGCAGAGCTGCATGCTGATGTGATTTTTAGTCAAAGCGGGTAAAGGTCCACTTTAAGGACTCGATCCATATTGTGTTGGCACCATGCCCCATCTGAGGCACTGCAGCAAAATGGGTATTGGGCTTCATAAGAAAGGCTGAGGCTTGCAGTACCATAACTTGTATAAAATATAAAAGTAAATCATGATTGCTTACTGTTGTAGCAAAGCAATGTGAGCACATATATGTGAAAAGCTAGAGATTGTGTGTTTCTAATATGTTGAAGAGGAGCTCTTTGTACTGAAAGTTTAGATTGTAAGAGCCGACATTTACATATACAGCAGGTATATACTGACTTACTGGAAATAAAGATCCGACATTTACATACAGTACGGCAGGTATATACTGACTTACTGGAAAGGCAATGAATTCCCTCTCCTACTTTAAAATGCTACATTTGTAAGGCAGGTAGGACTTGCAGAGTATTTTTGTATATTCTTCAGATAATGTAATTCTTTATAATGACATTACAGCGCCTTTCACTGAGTGCTAGTTATTTTATGCAGCTGTGGAATAATCACAAGGCTAACAATCCATTTTAAACTGAGATAGACAGTCTTCACAATCTCCCTATCTTCTGTTCCTTACATGCTGGTTGTAAGCCAGAAGCCAATGAGTCATCTTGTGTGCATATTTACCATTCAGCAAGCTCATTTGGCAGGCAGCACTTTACACTTAGTCTGAATGTGAATTAAATGATCTCAGTATTGTTACTTTCAAAAGCACTTTCTATTTTTTATAGTTGTATCCCTTTACCACTTACACCTGTTTACTTTTCTGAAAGGTAGAAAGTAGGAAACACAGCAACCAATAGAATTCATCTTGGTTATAATGAGGGTGGTTATCTTTTAGTATATTTAAAGTTAGTCTGGAGGAACAGAACTGCAATAAACTAGATACTTGTTAGCTGCCATGCTTTGGTATAAGGACAATACTGTATTTCCTGCATTGTATTGTATACAGTGAAAGTTAATGAGTAACAAAGGCGTTTAACCAAACTGTTACTACTGTATCATAGTGTTTCTGTTAGCTACAGTAAAATACAGGACCCCAGTATGTTGACTATATCAAAAGGACACATTCAGGTAACATACAAAGAAGTCGTTTTGGCAATCCAAATAAATGCACATGATAATTGTTAATTAGGAAACAGTATGACCCCTTAAAAATGCATTCTGCAAACCTACACCAGATGCCTTTTGGCAAACCGTAGGCAAGATGTCACATGAGTTTTAGTTAACAGTGACTTTCTTTTGCATCTCTTCCTTACAACTTGTCCTTTGCACATTAACACTCTTCATTTATTTTGTCTTGAATGTATTTCTTTGACACTTTCATGTGTTATTTCTTTTAGGCTTTGCTGGAACTCCAGGATACCTATCTCCAGAAGTTTTACGAAAAGATCCCTATGGGAAACCTGTGGATATGTGGGCATGTGGTAAGCCATTTTGCATGGAAGTAGATCAAATCTACATAGCGACTATTGAAACCAAACATTCTGCTGACATTTAGGGGGTTATTCTCAAAGCTGCCGACGGCAGCCCAGTGAATAACTGAGGTGAAGTGAGCCGAACACAGTTCGGCTATTCACTTCAGCCCTGTACGCAACCGTACATTGGCTAAAATCATCTGTACATCGGCTGGCTTCGGTCTGGCAAACATTTATGTCAATTTTCTAAATTTTCTTGTAAATCTAACAATTCTGGTTAACGTTGTAACTTGTTCAACTTTTACAACACATGTATTCTTTATTGTACTTTATAAACTAAGTGACACATTCATTGTAGAGGGTAATACATTGACATGATTTATTCTATTAAGTATGATATTCTATATACACAGCACATAACAGACTGGTTCTGCTGCTCTTGGTATTAAATAGAGATGCACAACCATTTCTATTATAGTGGTAAAGAGGATTTATTTGAAGGACTTTTCACTTAGCAAATATTATTTCTAGAGCATATCAGATAACATCAATACTAGAATCTTGCATAGAACTTTCACATTGTACCTAATAAAGTCATATGGCAAAAGACTTGTGTAGATTTATTAAAGTTCAGCTTGTTTCCTACTGCATGAACACAGGAATACAAATAATTGGTCTTAGGCAATTCAGTTTCATTAAATTTTTTTCTACCTTGCTGCTGCACTGAACTGGGAGCTATAGGCGTTGCTGGATCCTACCTGCTGATTTGATATAGTTGGCTACATGACCAGTCCCTGCCAAGCCTGTTAGTCAACCGTACTATTGAGCTGAGTTCAGAACACTCTTGACCTAAATAATAGTCTATTCCTAGCTACGAGCCCCAGTTCCTGAGGAATCCCCAAGTTTCAGTTTCTAGGTGTCCCTGTGTTTCAAGTTTGCCGATTTCCTGACTTCCACTGTTCCTGAGTTGGTGCGCCTCCTGCACTCCTGTGCCTCCTGAGACTGTCACCCTGAGCATTCCTGTGACCCGACACACATGGAGTTCAGTCTTGAATAGATGGGTTACGCAGGTATCTTCGAGTACAAGGATCAAACCTCTTAGGCAAATTTGATATAGATCTTAACTTAACTTAAGGAGAAATGTTTTATTAGCCCCTTGGACCTTGTAATATGAGTGTCTTCTGTTGTCTAACTGATTGGCGTCCTTTCATACATTAGTCTAAACACATTTTATGAACTCTATCACACCTGGAATAGGCGATGTTAAAAATTGCCTTTTGGTAGTTCAATACTAGGTGAAAATTGAAACAAAACCTCACCGATGTGTAGTCCTGAGTTGTTCTGCAGACAATTTATGACAGGGCATTAGGGCATTTTATGAGAGGGCCTATTTAGGAGTCTTTTGAAGACCCTGCCTATGGAGATTTTATGACACCCCTGCATTCCATCTATTTTCTCTGCTTTGTGTCCCTAAGTTGAGCTGTGTTCTGTAAAGTATGCCTTATCAAATATGTTACCTTTTCTGGCTGCCAACCACTGACATGATATTTAAGTCTGGTGGTTTTTGTTATTAACTTGGGAATTTTGGAGACATAAAGGTGGCACAGTGTTCATTCAGTGCAACAGTCTTCTTCTTCAGACCTCATTATTGTCACACTCTAGTCTTGCTACAGTTTAGGCAATCTTTTTGGGGCTCTTTGTGAGGAGGATTTGAAATCTATCCCTTGCTTTAGACTTGCTTATGTATCTTTATGTGGGTTCTCTTTTTGGGCAATCTGGGCTTACTTGTAGGCGAAACACTCCTTTTGTATTGACTTTCAGGCTTACAAGGGAAAAGTCTGCACTTACTCTTGCAGCTAGGCACATCTTAATCCCACATTACCATTTTAAAATGTACACCCACTAGGAGTTTTGATGATGCAGCATAGAGTGGAAGCAGTGTGTGTCCTCAATCTGTGCCAGCAGAATAATTTTTGAAAGAACAACATTATTTGCATACTTTGTCTGCAATGCGACATGCTTTTTATAAAAGGAGGGGTCTGCTCATATGCAGCAATATGGCATGTTTTATACTCAAACCACCATTGCTTTTTTTCATCAAAGGTGGGGGATGCCTGATGGCTTTCACATAGATTTGGGAAACCTGCATAGCTATGCCTGGTGCAGGCGGTAGTATCACAAAGTTACAAAATAATGTTTAACCTAGATTCCTTCTCGACTCTTCACATCTTCCCATGTCATAGGAATGTTGGAAAGATGTATTTCAGCTATTCAGGAATTGCTGTCCTGGGGGTTATCATTTCTGTTCTTCCAACTAAAAGGTTTCAGGGATTGTATTAAAACCTGTTTACAGTCCCAAAACCCAAAGAAGCCATTCGATCCATTTTGGACTTAAAGGCACTCAGCGCTTTCATACATCCTTTAAAAGTTTCAAATGGAATCTTTCCACTCAATTATCGTCTACCATCATTGAGGAGACATCTTGGAACCGGAGAGATATGATTTTCTCAATACTGCTACAACTGACACATAAAGGGAGAACATATCTGCAAATTACATAGAAGCCACAAATTGCATAGTTTAAAAAAAAAAAAAACCCCAGACAGGGGGTTTTAACCATTCCATACACATTCTATTCCAGCTCTACAATTAGCCGAACCACCTTCACTAGGCTAGTGTTTAATTGCAGGGCCTGTGTGTGTGTGTGTGTGTGTGTAAGGGGGGCTCCGTCATGAAGCTTATTTGGGATGCTAATGAGGCATGCAAATTGATGTTAACTCAGTAGGCAGGGTCCACACATTCACAATCATTTTGCTTTAAGTATATCGGCTCTGTCTAAAAGTTGGAATTTGGCCATGGCCCCCAACCTACATATCACAGTACCATGGTGGGACCTCAGAAACCTGAAGCTTGTCTTTGCATAGAAAACATATGTGGCTCAGGCAGCAACAGGGAGCCATCATTTAATAGGGAAGGCATACGCTGGCACCAGCTTGTCCCAGCACATGTATGCATGCACTAATGCATGCATGTATTTTTGTATATCCTATGATCTAGAATAATAAATGAAAGCATTACCACAACTTAGGGGTCTATTCACAAAGCTGCCGAAGGATCTAGCCATAGCTTCGGCCAATTCTTCAGCTAGCTTCGGCCCCAGGACCCCTTCGGTTCAGTAGAACCAAAGGGGTGCTGTACGGGCTATTCAGTATAGCCCGTACAGCTCCCGAACGTGGCCGAGCGGCTCAGTCGAGCCAAACGCATATGCCTCGGCTCGGCTGAGCCGCGCTGAAAGCCGAAGCTGGCCAAGCGATACCTGCTAACTAGGGACACTGATCTCCAAACAGCAAACTCTTCCGGGCGCTCCGGGAGTCTCCCGCTCCCGGCCACCAAGGAGAGCAACACTGCTGTGCTCCGTGTCAGAATAGAAAAAAAAAATTTTGACCATTGGAATGCATTGCTAGATTCCTATTGGTTATTTCAATTTGCAATAGCCAATAGAAAACTAGCATTGTACCCACCCTCTATAGCTCCGCACAATCATTTTCTATTTACTTTTGTTTAACTGTTTTAACAATTTTTCTGTTCTGCTCGGTCCCTAAGATCCCATGCTCAGTTGCAATTAGCTATTCACTCACTGCTGTTCAGCATCTATGAGAATAGGCCGAACATTTACTCATCTGCTCGATCTATTGGTGGGAATGCTGTGCATACAGCATTCGCCTTGCTATACACTGGGCGTAATGTTAATAAATTTGCCCCTTAGTGAAGCTACGGTATGCATTGGCTTTCTTGCAAAAATGTATGTTTTTTACAGATATTCTATTTCTGTCTTTACACAGGTGTGATCCTTTACATTCTTCTGGTGGGTTATCCTCCATTCTGGGATGAGGACCAACACAGACTGTACCAACAGATAAAAGCTGGAGCGTATGATGTTAGTATTTATTGGTGTATTCTTACAGGAGTTCAATGTGTTTGGTGGCAAACCTCTCAATTCACTATAGTTGTTTGTGTAAAACTTCCCAAAGAATCTATCACAAATTGGAGCCTCTGGACTTCTTTCAGAGCAACTTATCCCAGCTTTGAAAACCCCTGTGTATTTATATAAATATAAGTAACATTTCTTTTTTTCGTTGTCATTTAGTTTCCATCACCAGAATGGGATACGGTGACTCCTGAAGCCAAAGATCTGATTAATAAAATGCTTACAATCAATCCAGCCAAACGAATCGTTGCCTCAGAAGCTCTAAAACATCCATGGATCTGCGTACGTTTATAATAATTCAAACAACATACATAATGCATTTGAATTTTGTTATATAAAACAATATTAGCTAAACTCAACATAAATATAGGCAACACACCTGGGTGATTTAATAAATGTAAAGAGGCCGAGGTGAAGAACTAATGACTTCCAATCGTATGCAAGCAAAAATACTGTTTTTCTTTTTTTTTCTTGCACATGCTTGGGTATTCTTTGAGAAGTGAATTTTCACCACATTCACTAAGTTAATGGAAACTTCCCCTGCAAAGTGAAAATGTCCTTGCAAAGTGAACAGCCTGTTTGCCTTTAGTAAGTCAACCCCATTCTGTCAAATCCTACAAGCATTCAGGTTTAAAAATAGAAGTTGGTACAGCAACTTCTAGTGTTGGATGGTAATGGTTACTGTATAACATATTCTACTACTATATATTCATAACTGCCTAAATATGCAAATTATCTGTTTAGTTGAGGTAATTAGTTGTAGATGGTTGCTTAAGCTCGCAAGGATTAGCAAGTGAATTGCTTTTACAGTGGAATGATTACTTGATAGATCTCCATCTTAGTAGAGTCTTTGGCTGGCGATACACCTTGCAGTCTAAATAAACATTCATCTTTATATCTACCAAAACTTATATGAAAGCCTACCAGATTAGATGCAAATTGAGTGGATTGTTGGGTAGGGATTCTAATGCATTCATTTTGGTAAGTCTAAAGAAGAGTTTAAGGAGATTGAATCACACATTCAAGAAAATGTCTATATGTTTGAATAATATGTAAATATTATGTATCTGCTTCTTTATAGTCATGTGATTGTTTTTTTTTTTTACAGCAACGTTCTACGGTTGCCTCCATGATGCACAGACAGGAAACTGTAGACTGTTTGAAGAAGTTTAATGCCCGGAGGAAGTTGAAGGTAAGCAGGATTATAAAGTGGACCTTTACCCCCTTTAACTACAAATCACATCAGCACACAGCTCTACATGCTACATGAGATCATCTACATCCTTGGTTCTCAACTGGTGAGTCGTGACCCAAAAGTGGGTCGCGACCCTATGTTCAGTGGGTCGCCACGTGCCTTCCACTTTTCTAGGTGAGAGGCTCCTGAGCCTCCCCCTAGCGCAACACTGTCGGTTCTCGTGCTGAGCAGCCATTCAGAACATGCTGCCTGGCGCCGATTGTCAGCTTGAGGTGGGATGGGTTGAAGCTATGCCTCTACAGCTTCCTCACGTCTCCTGTAGAGGCACATGGACCAGAGTGACATCACATTCTGGCTCCCGGCACTCTACAGGGCGCAAACATTGTACAAGCAATTCTGGTGTGGGAGGTGCATTGCATTGCCATTCATTTGAATGGCATCCCAAACACACCTCCGGCCCACAGTTCAATAGCCTGCCCGGAGCGCCTGGTACTGCAATGTCATGCGTTCCATTGCAGTGCGACTTGGGTCGCGCATCAATGTCACAGGACAAATGTGGGTTCTGAGGTTACAGGTTGGGAACCACTGATCTACATTCATTAGCTAAACAAACATATTTTTATTATACTTACAATTTTTCCCCCACTTCCTGGTCCACTTTGGCACAAATTATGTAATAGTGCCCAAGCATTGCATTCTGGGAAGGTTACATCAGCAGAGCATTGCTGAGAAATCTCATCTGTAATCTCATGAGATTTCAGGGAAAGGCATTTTCCTCTCCTGAGATGATGTGCATGGTCACATGTCCTAGTCATATGTGCCAGAGTTCCAGAAAGTAAAGGGAAATCTAGTAACCTGCCCTTAGTTAAAATGGCCACTGTCAAGACTGGAAACGAATAATAAGGTATTCAAAGAATAAAAAGCCAGCAATTATCTAGAAGTACCTGCTTGCAGAATGTCAATACTAAACTTTTCTAAAGGTGCCTTTATTGTTATTTTGAAGATATGGGTAAAGTTACTCAGTAAGGCCAGAGTTTTTGACCAATACACTATTTCTGTCATTTTTAATACATTACTTATAGCAGGGAAATTAATTCACGGTCAAAGACTGTGGATGAGTTTGTGGCGGCTTCCCTTGTGCCGTAGCTCACCTCCGTGTGCCTTGCCCATGTTAAAGATGGCCGCCGCATTATGAACCTTATTAAAGATGGCTGCCACATTATAAACCTTATTAAAGATGGCCTCCACATTATAAACCTTATTCAAAATGGCTGTCATCTCACGGCTGGCTTCGGCCACTTTCAGAGAGATCAGCGTCCCTGGTTACTAGCTAACCAGGGACGCTGTCATTACACACTGAGAACGGCCTCTCTGTGTTCTAAGTGTGTAATGACAGATGGCGTTCCTGGTTACCTGGTATCCAGGAACGCCATCTGTCATTCCTCCCCCGGATGCTCTGGGAGTCTAATAGGCTCCTGCCTGCCCGGGAGAGAAACACTTTCTCCCAGAAAAGTTCACTCTGCTCGATCGAGCAGGGTAAACCTTTCCCTGCTCGGTTATTTATTTATTTTCTTCTGACATCGGAGCCGTTTGCTGCCATCAGAAGAAAAAAAAGAAATCACCATAGGAATGCATAGCTAGATTCCTATTGGCTATTTCAATTTGCAATAACCAATAGCAAACTAGCTATTGCACCCGCCCACTGCTGCTGTCAATCAGCAGAGGGGGACCTGCAGTTCTCCATCAGGTCCCCCTCTGGTGATTGACAGCAGCAGAGGGCCGGTGCAATAGCTAGTTTGCTATTGGCTATTGCAAAGGCAAATAGCCAATAGGAATCTAGCTATGCATTCCTATGGTGTGTTCGTTTTTTTTTACGGCTGCAGAACCAACCGGCCAATAGAAAACAGTTGGACGGAGCTAGCTATCACTGCTAGCTCCGCTTAATCGTTTTCTAATCTTTTTTTTTTTCTACTTTATTAACTATTTTTCTATTCTGCTCGGTACCACAGAGGGACCGAGCAGAACAGCCGAGCTGAATGCCGCTCGGCTATTTACTCACTGCTGTTCGACATCTATGAGAATAGACCGAACAGCAGCGAGTAGCCTGCCGGAGGTTCGGTTTAGCCGATCCAGATGTTGGATCGGCTAATTTGAACTCCTTCTGCACTTCGGGTCGACCCGAAGCCACCCGATGTACGGCTGATTTTAAGCCGATATACAGCTGGAATCATCCGCACGAGCCTGAAGTGAATAGCCGAACTGCCTTCGGATCACTTCGTTTGGGATCGGTCATTCACTTGGCTGCCTACGGCAGCTTAGTAAATAGACCCCTGTGTGTATTATGCCCTGTGTGTTGCGTTGTGTATTATGCCCTGTGCGTTGCGCTCTGTATTATGCCCTGTGTGTTGCGCTGTCTGTGTTATGCCCTTTTGCAGCCTGGATAATATCTATCTTAGTATATCCATAACTGAAATATCATTCTTGAGTAGGCTGACACTTTAATTAGTGAATTGCTGATTAAAAAAATATATCTGTATTCTTTTTTGATTATGCACTTGCTGCACTTCATTTCTTATCTATGTTAATTTTATTGTTATCGCTTTAATAAAAACATCGAACAAGTAAAAAAATATTACTGTATGGCTGAGATGATTGTAAAAAGCATGCAATTTGCCATTATCGTAGCATGTGAAAACCTAGGGAAGAATCACTCAAGGATTTTATTTAATATCATTTTTACAAAAATCAGTCAGTTTCCCTTTGCTTATCTAGTCTAAAATTAGGGGGAAAACTTGTTCTGATTGCATGTGACTGGCTAAAGTTATCCATGAAATGGCAGCCGGATTTTAAAGAAAACCTTTGAATAAACTCTCTTCCAGCATTTAGATCAGGGATGTGCGGTCAGGTGAGGCAGAGCCTCACCTAGTATTATGAAAGAAAAAGCTGCCAGCTTCAAGTCTGAAGCTGACAGCTTTTTCTCCATTCAGAGTGGCTTGTAACAGGTTACACAGCAGGGAAAGACTCTTTGCTGTGTAACCTGTTATGGATGGAGCGCTGCCTGTTAATTACAGGCGGTGCTGCATCTGGCTTTTGACAGCTAAGTTAGCAGCAGCGGGCTTCCTCACTGCTTGTGTAATCTAACATAGTGAGGCAAAAGCTGCAGCAGCCTCTACTTGGTGTTAGAGGCTTGAACTCTGTGGATGGTTTGGACCAATGGCAAAGCGCCATTGGTCAATAGTGTCCGTTAAAAACTAAATATGTAAATTCCCCAATAGGGTACCAAGGTGAGTACCCTATTGGGGAATTTAGTTTATAGGAGTTTTATGGTTACACATCAGCACATATTTAGTTTTTCTATCACAATGTCTATCACATTTCATTCACATCATTAGGTCTCTTTGAAGACCTTTTCCACTGGGTGGTTACCCATTTTATCATTTTTATTGCAACTCCCTGTTTTAGATATACACATATATATTTAATATTTATTTATTTATTTTCCATTCATTTAAACCTTTAGCGCTGTGACAACACCCACACTTCACCTTTACCACTTCTCATAGCAGCTTCAGGATTACTATTGATAGTCCACTTTCCATAAGCGCAGATCTTTGTTGCAATCATGGCTACATTTGAGCCACTGTTTGTATGGTGCTGAGCGAAAGGCAATTTAAGGCATCTGTCAGCATTTACATGGGTGTCGAGATGCAAGTGACTTATGGTGAGCTGCTACTTAGTATTGAAGACAGTAACTGTGGACAGCAAGAATGGAAAAAAAGATGAAGACCAATGTATAGAAGTAAGACTGAACTTTGTTCCATAGTCTTGCCCAGGTTTAATAAACTCCAGAGGAATTTGGAGAATTCGTGAAAAAGGAAACAGTTTGAAAAAGTGCAGAGAGCTCTAGGATACTCTAGATCTGCTATGACATCACTGAACTCTAATGCCATATTAGTAGGGTGGGAAAATAACATTTGCCTGGTTTTCGTTATGATCCTCTGGCTTTATTGACTTGCAAATGCAAGTATGTGGATAAGGAGTTCTGAACTCCCTTTGAGTTGACTTGCCACATACTTGTACTATTTTTTCTAATAAAAAGGAGCTTCATAGGTCCTAATTCTTTATTTACATCATATTTAATATCACATGGGTATTGAACATATGTTATAAATTTGGAACATTAGTAGCATACGCCCAAAAGGAAGAAAAGGGCAAAACTTGAACAGTAAGTAAGATGTAATGAATCTTAGATGGTTACAAAAATACTCTATAATCTTAAAAGACAAATATTGATCTTAATTCAGCTTTGTTCCCTAATGCCAGTCCTCATTCAGGATATTAAGAAAGTACAGTCTTCACCTACCTCTCCTTCCAACTTTAAACTGGGATGTTAGAGTCATGCTTGCTGGGGAAAATATTCTAGGTGTGCAGTAAGGTTCACATTGACATCCCTGAGGTCTAATCCTATATTAGTGAGATAAGGGGGGTGATTTACTAACCTAAACACACGCACGTACCAGGTGCGTGTGATTTTCACACAGCAAAACTTATTTATCAACCAAAAAGTCTCTAAAAGCATATTTCCACTAATGCCATATATGGAAAAAGCATGCACATGATGCATATATAATGCTGCTTCACAGTTTAGACAAAAATGGTTAGCTCATGCATTTACAATCCTGCATTCATCAACGCAAGCAACACAACGTAGAGATAATTTACACAACATCACCTTGCAATTCATGCTTGGCTTTGCACAACACACCTGCTGGGTGTGTACACACTACAAAGGTGTTTAGATTCCACCAATAGATCATGCTGGGAGGGAACACACTACAGAGGTGTATACATGTTCATGGTGTGTTTATAAGGTTAGTAAATCAACCCCAAGGAAACACTCTCTATTTGTAAACCCCAGCTGGGCGTTTGGAATAAGGTGGAGGAACATGGGTAAACTCAATAAGCCCTTTTACATTATTTTACTTAGTGAAAGGCTT